GGTCCAGTTACTTACATTATGTCCATACCGTTCCAAAAGCTTAAATAAAAATAGCAAGCCTGAAACTTCTCCTCTGTTGGCATTTCTTCATAGAGACGGGGTGTTGCTTAAAGAAACATCAAATCACTCTTAAAAGAGGTCAGATCTGCAGGGTGAAATGGTAGAATTAATGGTGAGACTCATTGGCTGCAGATTTCCAGAACAGCTTTAGACCCCTGAGCAGCTGCACTGGATGCCAACAGAATGGGCAAACTGGTTTGCACGATATGTGAACTGCTCCAGTGCATCCCTCCAACTATCACTCATTAGAATTAAAAACCTGTTAAAGCCCAAAGCTCGAAGCCACTTCCATGCCAGGCAGCCAGGGCCAAGCACAAAGGCAGCATTTCCACGGAAACCAAATTAGTTCTTTTTCCTTTTCATTTCCATCAGCAACGTTACTTGAAATAATCTGGATCTGCGGCAGAGAGGTAAAGAAAGGCTACCCAGGGCCTGGATAGGCAGGGAGAGGTAACATGCCTCGGGGAAATGGTAAAATGCTGGCCTCCCTCCTCATTTGTTGGATTTGGTAGGAACAGGATGGGGCTGACAGCATCTGCTGTGTCCAAAAATCATGCAAAAAGTCATGGCACAACTGGCTGAGAGCATTCCCATTAAGTCTGTGCCCCAAGGTGGCTTTTCTGGGGTATGCTGTAGCCATAAATGCTGACAAAATCCCACAGGAGCATGTAAGCAAGAAAAGCCTCAGATATTTTGAAGGTCAGAGGCAGTACTGCCGTTGCAGTGCAGAGGTATGGCATTATTAAAAGGCATTTTCCATCTTGCAGCCTTTTCCTGTAGACATAAATACAGATATTAATGATACCGTGATAAGAAACGGATAGCCCTAGGGCTCTAGACAGCCTTCTGCCTCTCTCAACACTGTGAATGCTACAATTCCTTACCTGGCACATTCCAATATCTCCAGACCACAAAGAATTAACCACACATTAATGTTGTAATACAAATCTGAGCATCTGTCAGCCAGGAACAGAGGAAAAAAAGGCAAATCACAGTCATGTCCCACTTACATTAATTTGACTGGTATGGCATTCTCATGCCAAGCACTCCAATCAGGATTTGGAGCCCACCATTTTGGGTAGAGAAAGACTGCAGAGGCACTGATGTCTGATCTTCAGGGGACTCTTCCAATTGAACTGTTCTATTCTGGAGTCTAAACCATTGCATACATGGTATCAAAATGTACTCACAGCCCCAGCAACAATACTAGATGGCCCACAACAAACACAACTTGTCTTTTGTCCGAGGGGAACCCCGAATGCAGTGAGTACACCCACTTGTGGGTGACACCTGCATGAGATTAGACGGATTTTTTTCCATCTGAAGATGGTAACCACTTTTATGTAAGTGTGACAGGTGTCGAATCACATTTTCTCCCTATATTTCACAGATCACTTTGTTTTTAAAAAGAGGAAGCAATGCAGTACAGCTTGGTTTGGTGTGGCTGAGGAGAGCCGGCAGTGACGAGGAGGATCTCCTCCTCACCACACACACCTTGGAGCAATGGCCAACATCTAAGTGAAGTACAATATTCTCCACTTGCTCTGTGCTTGCAAGCATGGAAGACTATGAGTAGGATGTGTGTTTGTGGTTGAGGAGGTATGCAAGCTATGCTCTGTGTGGATGGAATACGCCTGGTGCTGAAAGCTGTGGGATGGAAGAATGAATGTAGTTGTATCAGGAGAAGGAGGAATGCTTACAGTATTTTGTGTCCTCCAACGTGGATTAGCTTGGACAGGGATGTAAGGTGGGAAAGACGTATCCTGAACACCTGTTTCTACATCTGTATTTTTTTCCTCATTTTGGAGACAGCTTGCCTTGCTCCACACTCCCTGTCCTCATTCTGCACTCAGGTCCCTTCCATTTCACACAGTAAGTTTCTGCTCTCATGAATGTTGTGCTTCCATGAGTTTGTGTGGAGGCAGTGCGGCTGCAGGGCCCTGCACACATCTGCCCATGGATGTGCTGGGAAAGTGGGGAGCAGAGAGATGATGCTGGGGGCAGGCAGGAAACACCCTGGTCTATGAACCTTTCTCATGCATGATGTTTCCTGCTGCTTTCCTCCCACAACTCAAGCTCAAGCAAAGTCTTCAGCACAGACTCTCTGGGGAATGGGATTAAGGCAGCCTCATTCTTAAAGTCCCGTGCAAAACGTGCAATGAGTTGGTGAACAGTGCTATTTGCTCTCTGGTCAGCAAAAGGACATTTAATTGATTCATCAAGAAGCTGAGGCTAGAAATCTCTCCAGAGGCAATGGAGATACATGCACTTTCTCTGACCTCTCAAAAACATGATTTATGGGAATACCCACTTATTTACCTAAATTCCCACAAAATAACCTGAAAGAATTAGCCCTTGATCTGTGATGGCAAGGGGCTCCACGGAGGTAAACTCACCGAAGGATGAAAAAGGAAAAACAAACCCAAAAGAAAATGTGTTCTTTAAAACTAGAAATACATTGAAGGGATAGAAAATAATTCGCGCTAAGTGGTGAAACAGAATATCGCTTGGCAATGCTGTTAGGCTGTGGATGGACAGAGAGACTAAGGGCTTCAAACTAGTTTGGTTTGGCTGTTGGCAATCAGGAACTTGAAAGGAAATTTGAAAGCTCAGTAACAAGAATTTCAAGTCGGAAACTTGAAATTCCAGAGACCTATAGCCACATGCCTGACCTGCGCTCGGGGGGAACCTTCGCGCGCACCCTTCTGCTCAGCGTCTTGGCTCCATGAACTCACTCTGCTTTGGAAATTAAATCTTTACAGGATGGCTGCCACCCTCCAGCACTATGCTGGGTGCCTGGTTGCCAGTGCTTCCTGATAGATCCCAGAAATGTTGGACTGCAGTCTCAAAGACAAACCGCTCTGTGAAAAGCGCAATGATCTCTCACAGCTCTTCTACAAAGGAGACTGGATCTTGGCTCCTGAGGTGTCCTGCAAAATAACTTAATGCAGTCGGCTGCCCAGTTGTAGTGCCTCTGTCTTGGAAAGATGGGTTTTGTTCCTTCTGTTAGTTCCTTCTGTTGAGTTCCTTCTGAACTCAACAACCAGAGAGTGCACATGAAATTTGCAGGGCTGCTTATCAGCCCAACAGCAGATACTAGTTTTTAAGCTTGCTTTAAAAAAAGAAAGGCTTCTCGAAATGCAGTCTTTTCCCTCGAATTCCCAGTGTTTTTGAAATGCAATCTTTCCCCTTCAATTCCCAGTCCCAATGCTCCACCGAATTCAGTCAACAAATATGAAGAGTAACAGCTACTTTGGATGCCAGATCCAAAATGCACACTATTTTACATGAAAAGTAATCATTGTGAAATTAGGGTGGGCCAACATCAGTTCTGATGTGCAATGCTTGACTGGTCCAGGATCTTGCATGGATATGGGAACTGAGGCAATGGAACGTAAAATCCCAGAAGTCATAAAAAATAGATCAAATCAGAACAAAACCTGTAAATTTGTTTGTCCAGAGAGTGAGTTGTTGGTTAGGTCATATTCAGTGGTGGCTCTGAATCAGGACTGGATGTGCCGTCATGCCTCAGAGGTCCAATCTGAAGTTATTCTTTCATGTCTTACAATGCTTTATGTAAAGAAGCCATAGAGTCCATCTGGATCAGACCTTGAGAGCCTCAAGCCAGTTTTGGATCTGGACTCTGTGGCTTTGGCTCATATCGAGGCATAACTGCAAATGTGTTTGGTGGTCTGATTCAAATCTCCAGCAAACAGGTGAGTTGGCTTTGTTCAAAACCACCGTATAATTCTGTGTGATTGGCACCTTTCACTTACAAGAAGGCTGAGCTGCATAGCCAGCAATGAATTAAATTGGCAAAGACGCGAGGAGGTTTGTATAGCACTTGGATCTGTACAGGGTTTATATTCTCTGATTTTTGTGAACCCAAATCCACAGTGGAATAGGAAGCAAGAGAATAAACTACCTACCAAGCATCTCATACTAAGAACAATGCCCTTCTTCTTAAAACAAACAAAAATCCCTCTTAATGCGATAATCTTACAATAACCAATTATTTCAACGAACCAATGACACCAAGACAAGAAGTATCCCGGAGTCAGAGGCGTGAACTTTTAGCTGTTAGGTCAATGGTAACATATCTTGTTTGAACAAGCCTGACAAAGATCTGCTGAGCAATATCCACTGGGGCCAACAGTGCTTGGCTGTCTGCATTGTGGTGGAGAGATAGACTTGGATAACAGTGTCACTCACTCCTCCGCTGACACCAGCCAAGCATAATGAAGCGTGGCCAAAGCCTTCTTCGGCCTGATGGCAAGAGTGGAATGCTGAAAAGACCTAAAAATGGCTGATATGGATGAATTAGAATGAAATGGTTGCAGTAACAACGATCTGAGACAGCATGTCCAGCGCTGAAGCCAATGCAGCCCCATTCCAGCCCCCTCCTTCCTCTTTCATGGCCTAATGCTGCATTTTCATGTATGCTGCAAAAACTTAGGCAAGTACATCCAGCCCACAGCGGTGTCAGGGGATGTCTACACCGCAGACTACAGCACAGAGGTATCTGGATATGCTGAAAAAGAGCTAATTTGAGTGCCTCTGTTCATGTGACTGCAGCCTGAGAATTTGCTTTCATAACTGGTTCCTATCTTTATTATTTACTAACTCTGATAACAGGATCAACACTATAACAGAGTTGAGGTGTCTAAGGGCAGGGAGCTGCTGATTTAAACACAGCACACATCTGCCCCCAAACTTCTGCAGTCAGAGCAGGCACAGCAGGTGAGGTGGAGAGACAAACAGGCTGAGCTCAGAGAAACCAACAGATGATCTGAACTATATTAGTTCTCTCAGGCAAACTGATTTGCTATTAAATCCAAATATTAGCCAAAAATGAAGACAAAAGGCAAAAAATTACATCTTTTTTATTATTTATTTTTATTTTATTTTAAATTTCTGTTTTTAGGGAAGCTTTTCCCAGCTCGGATCTGAAAATGGGGAATGGAGGTTACAGTGGATGCACAAACCCAAGCTATGAAGAGGTGTTTTCCTACGCTTTAAAACCCAGCCTGAGGTTTTCAGGAGCAACTACTATTTCAGTTGCCTCATTAACCTGATCCAGAGTGTATGAGTTTGGATCAGTAAAAGATACATTCCAAGCTGTTTACAGAGAAAGGTCAGATCTCCAGATCAGCATCACCTCTCTGGGACCAGGCTCTCTTCTAGGCTGTATTCCTCCTGCAAACCCACCAACTACAAAGCTGCGAGAAGCAACAAATCACCTCGTTCCCAGGAAGCTCTGTGTTGAATTGGGAAGCGCAGATTTAGCCCAAGGAAGGCTCACCCATGGGCCACCAGTAGCTTTTAAACCTGTCAAGAACAGAACTTTCTCAATCATTAGAAATAGCTCAAAAAAAGCAACACAAGATATGTTTTCCGAGTAAGTCGAGAAAATATGAGACTGTAACAAGACAAGTAGGATGCAACGGCTAAGGATGGATTCCAGGTTTAACTAAAGAATAGGAGAAGTAAAGGGATACTGCTCAGCACAGCTCAGTGATGATAACAAATTAGTACAGATTAACACGTTTCGCAGTTCCTAGGTGTTGGTTTGGTTTGGCACTATGACTGATCCAAAGAAAGAAATCTTAGCGTGTTGTGCATATGGAATGTACTCAGGAGCTGAAGGGAGCCACAAAAAATAGACTGATACATCTCTATCTGTAATGTTAGCTGATGGCTGCTTCCAGTCCTTCTGTTTCTCCAATGCACCTTAGAAAATAGCTTTTAAATTCATCAGATCTTGGACACGCGGCTTGCGTAAGGTTCCAGCCAGTAGCCGTTTATTTTATAAGGGGATTTAAATATTGTAAAACAGAATAAAATGCAGGTGTTTGCATGACAGACAAGTGAGCCTTGCGTAAGGTCTACAGAGATGTGACTTCCAGATTAAAAGGCTTTGCATGGCTTGTGCTGCCTCAGAGGGGGTGGTGGGTCTTTGGATCAGGTAGTGCAGCATCTTCTTTGGGATGACAGGTTCCTAGATTCAAGCCTCTGCAATGCCTGCACATCAGGGAAGCATATGCAGCAGGACAGATAGTGGCTATATTTACATCTGCACAGTTTTGAAATTTGTCTGAGGTAGTTCAGTCACCACAATCCTTGAATCTCAGTAATTGCCATTTACTGCCTGCAGCTGCCATATATTCTGATGAGGATGGGTTCTAGCATGGGCAGCCCAATGTTACTCTGCTATCCAGGTGGACGAGCTGAGGCTGCTATCAAGGGAAGCTAGGAATAACCAAAGCAGGATCACAAATATAGGCAAAACAGAGTTACACTGACTTTCACAGTGGATTGTGGTAGCAATGACAGAATTACAGCTGCTTCTTGGAAAGCTTTCCCAGTGATCAAACCCAAAGCTTCTGAACCACAAGCAATCATTCTCCTCAAGAGGAGAGACTACATGGAAAATCTGACAACGTGGTTTAATGATAATGAAACTCTACTACTAGTGATGCTTTTACTCCTGATTTACACCAGGAAGGTGAACAGATAGCCAAGGTAACACTAGTTAATTATTAAATATATAATCTGTGTAACCATGCCCTCTAGAGGACTAAGTTTACCTTAATGGAGTCAAAACCAGCCCTTGGGGCTGTACACTCTTAACATTTGAGGGAAAGGTACTGTGAATGCTCACATTTCCCCTTTCCACCTGAATGCAGATGGGAACCTGCATCTGCTCACTGGTGCCTCACCCTACAGTGTGTTGAACCAACCCCCAAAATGGCACCAGTAGGTGGGTTTTCAGGTGTGTACCCACCTGGTGTCACTGACAATGGTTCATTCAGCTAAACCCCATCCAAAGGCTGCAGGATTGATCTGAGATCATGTGCTCTACCGAAAAGAAGGTCATAGAAATATGACAAGTTTCGCAAGGCCTGGCCCAAATGAAAACGTTGAGTATTAAAAAACAGCATTCATTTTCTTACCTCATGCTTTCCACATCTTCCTTCCTTTCCTTTTTTCTGCATTTGCTGGCAACTTCCCCAACTCTGCTTGGTCAGTGCGGTTTGCATTCCCAGTTGGCCCGAGCTGCAGAAATGAGAGTGAAATCAATCTACGTGCAGTCTGCTGGCCGTGGCTGGGATCACAAGAGTCCGCCTGGATGCTGGCAGTGGCATCAGCCAGCTGTGCTCCTGGGTGCTTGGTGCAGGCAATGAAACTGCCCTAGAGGGGTGGGTAAATGGGCGGGAAGTTGGGCTGCTCTGAGCCCCATATGTCTGCTGTGCAAACTGCGCTCCATTGTCCCCAAGGGCAACAAGGCTATGAAACAAAATCCAGCAACGAATAGAGAGGAAGGTCAAAGCTATGAGATAGCAGAGGGAAACAAAAGGAAATTCTCCCTTATCTTCTTCAGTAAGCTTTTGCTGGTCGGGCTGGTCCATGGAGAGTTCCAGATGTTCCTCTGGAAGTTCTGCACTCCATCCTGCACACCAGCCTTGGGAAGCAGCTCTGAAGCAGTGTGTCCTTTCAGGCTCTCCAGGGATGAAGCCCGTAGAGGTTGAGCCCTCACTTGCTTTGTAAGAGAGAATATTTTGACGTCTTTTACTCAGCGCCTTACATTGTGTCTCAAGTTAGATTGTTTTCCCAAGAATTTAAGAGAAACAGAAAGCAGATCATGGTTGTATTTTGGTAATTTTGGTGAGTAAATCCAAAATATCTGCGACGTGGGATTTTCAGTGCTAGCATCAGTAGCTTTGCTTTTTCACTGAAGCCACTGGGATGTCAGACACTGAATATACTGCAGCTGTCAGACGTTGGTTTTGAAATCCACACCATGAATGTTTTCATTTGATTTTTTGTTTTATTTTTCTTTCTTTACTCCCACTTTTCTCTATTCTTTCTTTTTCCCCGACTTTTCTCCCAGTGAAAGAAAATGTGTTTTTTTTTCCTTGGTTACTTCCACTCTGCTGACCTGGTTTCTTGCCTTCCCTTGGAAGCATTTAGGTGTCTCAGCAATGGAGACAATGAATCAATGAACACCAGAGGATCCGGGAATACCCCAACAGCCTGTGAGGAGCAGAGAGGATCACAGAATCATAGAATTGCTCAGGTTGGAAAAGATCTTAAAGATCTTCAAGTCCAACAGAACCACACCATACTACCCTAACTCTACCAGCCCTCCTCTACATCATGTCCCTGAGCAAGAGCCAAGGGTGCTAACACTTCCCTTTGCTCTTCAAATTCTCATTAGCAGGAGGTTATGCTGCTCTGAGCTGATGCCATTCTTGCTTTTAGATCAAAAAGACTTTACTTGTGGGAGCTTCAGAAGACAAAACTCAAAATATTTTAGTGGCAAACAAAAAATACATAGCATGGTGCAGAGCTCCCAGCAGAAGGAAGGTTTGGGCCTATCAGACACGCAGGGATTACTTGCTGGGAAGGCACAGATCTAGCCCCAAGGAGCAGCTCGTGCCTCAGCTCAGTGCCTCCACAGCTCAGGGTCGGCTCTCAGTCCTGCAGATACAGCTCCACCAGCAATGACTGCACCTCAAACAGGCAAAGGTTTGCTGATAGCTCAGGAGCGGGGAACCAGGACACCTGTGTCATGGGAGTTATTGGATATAACATGGGAAGTCTGACGCAGAAGTATCACGTTAACGCAGAGCAATGCAACACAGCAATCGAACTACTGGATTTTTAAACCCAATGTGAGGGGTCGTTTTCAGGCACAGCAGTCTGGAGTAGAATTCTGTTGTGTTTGTTGTTCTTCTTAAAGCATCTTCCAGAAAAGAAGAGCGAATGAACTGCGGTTCAGCGCTAACAGTTCGCCCAGCATTAAGCGTCCTGCATCTTGGCCTTGGGGCAGGGATGCACATCATTTTAAGCATTTTGAGTCATCCCATTGATTTCAGCCAGATTACTCATATGCTCAGTGCAAGCACAGCCCAAAGTACCATGTGGGATAAGCCTGTTTTATTTCTGAGAAACAGAAGAGCTGGTTCATGCTCTGATTTACAAAAGCTGCCTCCGTTAAGCCGATGGAACCTGTTTGTACCTCAAGCATTTGAAAACTGTTTCATGCAAATGCAGGTAGACTGACTGCAAACAAGTGATTTTTTTCACCTACAATCAGTTGAATCTGAATCAAATGAATGGGTGTGTTGAAATGAAGAGTGAAAAACAAGTGTGAGTTGCGTAAACTGATAATGCTACCATTAGGATTGAGTAACATGCTAGACCTTTTTATGGAAGTGGGAAATATTTCTCAAATTCTGAACGTTTGACACAGTTGCAGTGAAAGACTTTCTCGTTTACAGCACGACTAAATCACATCATAAATGAAATTTGAAGGTAGTTAACAAAATAATCTTTGTGTCAAATGAGTGAAATGTGGGTTTGCCATTTGAAAATGTCATTCTTTGGTTTTGTAGTGTCCTTTAAAGGCTAATCTAAAAGAAAATTAAATTAATCTCAAGCTCACCACCTTTAAATTGCAGAAGTGAAAACCTTTCAGGACTTGCCAATTACTTAGGAAACTTTGTAGCTGGATTATTCCCAAATTGCACACCCTTTATTTTAACCACTAAAGGCAAACACATGGTTTTGATGGGCCGTAAAAGAACAGGTTGCTTTTTCAGTACTGAAAGAAGCTGTAATTACTTCCCTTGTTTGGTGACTTCCTGATTTCCTTAGGTTGTTATGAGTGATACTATTCTGCTAAGGTAATTGGAGCTGCCTGAGTGAAGCCGATGACCTGAGGGAATGACCAGGGCTTTTGAGTCTAGGTGACTTGCACCTAATGAGTAAGAGCCATTCCTGCTTCCCAGGAAGAGAGGACACTAAAACTGCCTGAAGTGCTCAGCACGTGTACTTTAAAGGCTTATGTTACACAGTCCAAGCAAATTATATCTCTGTATGATATGTGGAAACCCACCTATGTCAGTTCCAGATACAGATAAAATAAAGGTATTTTCTTCAGAAAAATAGAAGAAATACATCATCCAAGTAAAACTGAGCTTCAGGTCTTTCTCTAAATGATCAAAAGCCAAATACTAACACAAGGAGGTAACCAGCAGTTGCTGAAATCAGTTCTTGTCTATAATGCAATGGATAATAAAATATGGCTGCAGTGAGTTGCAATGGGTTTTGTTCTTCTAAGAATTAAACTATTTAAGAGTTACATAGGAGACCAAACAAGTTTCCAAGGGCTAACACCGACCCTGAGCCAGCCCTGGAGGACAGAGCTGCAGGAAGACAGGCTCAAGGAGACTGGCTGCTCCCTTCGTAGATGAGACAGGCAAATATCCAACTTCTTAGCAGTGTTCTAAGGCATTTTTTTTCTCAGCTTGCAAAGGAAGTGCCTAGGCTTAGCTGTAACTCCTTTTATTTTTTGCACATTTGTTCAGATGTGTGTCATATTACCTTTCTATTCAGAAGGACAAACTTTGACTTGCTGCATGCTTTCTGAAGGTGAAATACATTATTTAAATCTGTGATTATTGATTCAAAGCATCTGAGATCTCAGGTGTGTTTTCTAACTAGTGCTGGCTTGGCCCACTGTGCAATAGGCCAGTTGCAAACTGGCTCCAGTACATTGATGGGAGGAGGTTAAATTAGAAAACTGAGCATGGAAGTTCTCCATCATGAATCATACATAGCTTCTCTCTTCATGTTCCCTGTACAGTCTGGTGGAAGAATCCAACACATGCAGTCTTGCAAGGGGTGTGGACACACAGAGGTTTCAGTGAGATAAACATAATTTATGCCATTGTGTAAATTGAATTTACAGATCATTACAGCTGTCTGTTACTCCAAGAACAAAAGCTGATGTACTTTCTACTCCAGGGTAAAGCATGCACAGGCAAATATTGAGGAGTACTGAGATGCTGTTGGCTAACGCTGTATCTCATGGAGATTAAGCCATGTTGACGGAGTCATAGTCTCTGCTAGAAGATAATGGATAAAGATGTGAACATTCAAAGGCAGTCTGGAACCTAGGTCTCTGACACACTCAGCAGTGATGGACTGATGTCAAAACTCTGACCGGTGAAGCGTTGGATTATGACACTTCTTTAAAGTGACAAGAATATGATAACATTTAAATGACCCAAACTATTTAACATTGTGATTTCAGACATTATTTCAAGGGACATCTTGCCCCTTAATGCAAGATTCTGCAGACGTTTACAGATAACATAGTTCAACACCTGCAGGCACAACAGGGAGGCTAACACGCAGCATCCAAATGTCCTGCATGGCTGGGAAAGGAATAGGGAGCACAGCATCCTCCAGCAGTCACCAAGCAGGCACTCCTCGGAGGGACAGGTGCCTGGATAATCTTTGCAAAGCTTCACTCGCTCATCTTTTCTTTCCCAGAGTTCAACTGACAACCTGTTTCAAGTAGTACAAAACCTATCCACTTCTGTAAAGTTTCTTAATAGTATAAGTCTTCCTTGTGAAACAGAACCAAATTACATTTCCAGGGGCTGGTATACAAATTGGACACCAGAATAGCATGACGCAGTCTTCTACCTGAACCTCAGATCAAAATCAATGGTTGAGGAGAGGCCTTGTAGCACAGGAGCCTATGTTAAGCTAATCAACTGAATAACATCATCATTAAGGAATAAGGATTACCTGAAGAACAAACTATTAAAATTCATGGTAGATTCTGAAATAGGAGAAAAGAGGTACTACTGATGGCATTGCAATAACATTAATGGAGGACGGGAGGTTGAGCCAGAAACCTGAAACTGAGCCTGTGAGGGCACACGTGCCTCAGAACACACATGGCTGAATGAAAGGGGAAATTCAGGAAAGCAATAATGCAGAGACAGGCAGTAAATTACAGCTTGCAATGCTCTATGGCACGCTGTGATAGGACAAGGGGAAATGGCTTCAAAATAAAAGAGGGAAGATTTAGATTGAATATAAGGAAGAATTTTTTTACAAGAATGACAGTGGGGCACTGGCACAGGTTGCCCAGAGAAGTGGTGGATGCCCCATCCTTGGAAACACTCAAGGTCAGGCTGGATGGGGCTCTGAGCACCTGATCTAGTGCAGTTGTTCCTGTTCTTTGTGGAGAGTTG